GGTAAGATGGAGGGTCAGAGAAAAAGAGGAAGACCCCCAACGAAATGGATCAGCCAGGTGGCATCATTGATGGCGTCAAGTGTGGCAGCGATAGTGAGATTGGCCCAAGGTCGGACATTGTTTCGTTCTGCTGTGCATGGGGTCGCTACGAGTCGGTTCTGACTCGATGGCACCTGACAACAACAACATGAAGAATTTTACTCCAACCAATTTGAAAATCTAAAAGAAGTGAATACATTTTTACAAAAACATAACATACCTAAACTAAACATGGAATGAAGTTAAAAACTTTAACAAAATTATAACAGAAGAAGAAATTGATCAGGACATAAAAAGTTCCCAACAGCAAAGAAAATCCAGGTGCAGATGTCTTTAATGGTGAATTCTACCAAACATTCAGAGAAGAGCTGATACCAGTTCTTCTCAAACTATTCCAGAATGTAGAAAAGGATAGGAAACTTTGTAATTATGAAGCCAGGATAATCCTCATACCCAAACCAGGGTCACTAAAAAAGAATATTATAGACTAATAACCCTCATGAATATAGATGCAAAAATTCTCAGCAAAATCCAAGCGATGTCAACAGCATATCAAAAAAAGAATATATCATGACCAAGTGAGATTCATACCAGGGTACAAGGATGGCTCAGTATTAAAAAATAATCAATGTAATCTACCACATAAATAAAACAAAGGAAAAGAACCACATGATCATATCGATTGATTCAGAAAAGACATTTACAAAGTCCAGCTTCCATTCCTGATAAAATCACTCAACAAAATAGGAAGACATTCAGGCAGCCAACAAACATGTGGAGGAAATGTTCACAATCTGTAGCCATTAGAGAGATGCAGATTAAAATAACAAGATATCATATCAGCATTAATAGCAAAGTTCATAAAAACAGAAAACAACAAATGCTGGCGAAGATATGGAGAGACTGGGACCCACCTACATTGTTGGTGGGACTGTAAAATGATTCAACCAATGTGGAAAATGGTTTGGCCCTTAGTAAGTTGGAAGTAGAAACACCTTATGACCCAAGAATCCTTGTACTTGGTATATATTC